CCCTGAGGGGGTGTTTTGGACAGCCCCGGGCACAGGCTCCCTGTTCTGGTGGGACTCTGCACTGAACACCAGCCGGTCGGCTACCAGCCCTGTCACTCTTGGTCCCACTTGGTTGCTTAAAGAAACCAAGGCTGCATGCACCCAAACCAAGTGGCTGACTCTGTGTTTCTGTGTATTTCTGGAAGCTGTAGCAATTTCTGCACTTTCTAAGGTGCTGCTGCAGGCCAAGAGGTGGTTATGACAACTACCAGAAACTCAGGAAAGTCAAGCTCAAGACAGTTGCTCTGCTGGATCAAAAAGTGCTGACATCAGGCTTTTAGTAATCAAAGCATTTAATCTTTTATGGTTTTAGTGTTTAGCACGTGCATATTTTTGGCAAGTTTAGTTCTAGTTCTGCATTATTGGAACACTGGGTGGTATTGGCAGATTTTGGTTGAGATCTCAGAAGGGAAACCTTTAGTTTGAGTAACATCTCCTCAGTGGTCACACGCCCACCCCCTTTTCTTTAAAGTTCTTAGAGCTTTGACGGATTTGGGCATTTTTGTGCATTTAAACGATTTTTTTTTTTCCTCTTTCTCCTCTGCTTCCTTGGAAGGAAAATGGGCATTGCTTTTTGGGAAGGGATGAGAGGGGAGAAAGAAAAATTTTGTTTTCATAGTGTTAGAGAATAAAACATACTATTATTGAGGTGTGTTCTATAAAAAAACATTAATTTTTGTTCAAATTTTGTTATTATTGAAAAAAGTAATATTAATAATAAATTACTAAAGAAATTTTTCATGTTTTTTCCAGTGTTATACTTCCCCTTCCAGATAATGTGAAAGAATATTTGCTGGATGATGGAACGCTTGTGGTTTCCGGAAGGTAAAGAGTGTTTTCCTCCCACTCTTCAAGTATTAATACTATTTTATATTCACAGTGCTATTTTGTATACACATATTGTGTTTTGCATAATGGCTTTTAAAAATTTGACCAGTCTGGCTGCAGTAAACCTCATACAGTGTGAGTGTGTGAATGGACTACTGTTGCTGTTAGTAAAACTGCCTGATGCAGATCCTAAATCCATTTAACACACTTGATTCTAGACCAAGTGGGGGCAGTTTTTTCATTTTGCCTCTCCCTTTCCTTGGGGAGTCTGCCAGTCTCAGGTGCACAGCCTGCTGTTTTGATTGCTTTGATATGTTTAGCTCCAGTTCAGAGGCTTGAGCTGTGCCACACCATTGACATACCTACTGCCTTATTCAGGGTTAGGTGAAGTTACCCGAATTTAATTCTCAAAAAGATAAGCTATATATAAAATCTTAGTAATTATTGAGTTTGTATAATTGTTTGCATACATGTAATCCATGCGTGTGGCAAGGCTGAATGTCCTGTATGTATATGTATGCCAAGGCTTTGGATGGAGAAAGATGAGGTGGATAGATATGAGAAACAGTTGGTAAGAACCCAGGCCTTGTTCTTTGTTTTCTGCTTAGAATCAAGCTGTGTGGCTTCTTTGTACAGTTATTATTGCATGCATACGTCTTGTTAATGATCAGACTTGGAAATCGGTCCACGCTCCATCATTTTCTAACTGGTAGTTTGCCTCTCACAGAGCAACCAATTGGGCTGTGAGTATAAGGGAGCTATGCCTGTCTTCTCAAGAATCAATTTATATAAAATTGAAGCTGTTTAAGCACCTTGTAAAGATGAAAAGCCTTTTTATAAAAAGGAATTTTAAAATTTAAAAGATATCTAGAAAATGAGAATTGTTTTTTAAACCATTTTGGATAAGAAGTAGCATTGTCGCCTGCTTCTGCACAATTGTGCAACTTATGTAGCAGAAGACATTTATTTTTTTAATAAGCCTTCAAAAAAGCTGAAACTGAGGGTTTGACTTTACAGCTATGTTATACAAACAATTTCTTCTGTCTTCAGTGGAATAATGGACAGCTGTATATTTGGCTTAAATTATATTTTTTAGGATGTTTTCTAATTAAGATCCCTTTCAGAAACCAGTTTTTCCTCACAGTTGAACTTTCTTAGCTGGAAGTGAATGTGATCTTCTCGCAGTCAAGGCCAAGATTGCTTTTAATCTTCGGTGAGCTAGTATCTGACCTCTAGATCTCAAAAACTGAACTGAGAGTTTAATCCCTATGGAAGTGCATTAAGGGACTGCAGAGACTTAGCTTGTTGAAGAGTTGACTTTTGGCAGGGACATACATTTGAACTTACCCTGTTTGTACACTGGCTTACTGTGAATAAGTCTTCTTGAAGAGCTTGATCTTCTCCTTTAAGATCTTCACACTCAGTTATTTTGGCTAAAGAACTTCAAAAGTCAACTAAAACTTCAAGGGAACATTTGTAATCAAGTGCTTTCTCCCAAATATCCGAATTTTTACAACAGCAGATCTCCCCTGTGTAGAAAAAGATAAAATTCAGAACCAGAAATTCACAGGCTAACATCTGAAACTCAAGTTTTATAAATTTTTACTTGGAAAAGAAGTATGGAGACAAAGCATAATTTAAATTGAACTTGTTTTTTTTAAAAAAAAAAAGAAATTTGTTTAATTTGTGCTGTGGGAGTACAGTAAAGTGGGAAAAGAATGATTGATAGGGTGTTGAAAAGCTTCAGCTATGGTGTTTTCAGAGCAGAAGGTGATCTGCAAATTAGAAAGAAGCAAAATGTTTTGGGTAGGGCCCAAGTCTAATGCCAGCATGTCTGGTCTTCAGGTTTTTGTACTGGCTTGCTCTGATTTTTCTCTGCTAGGGGTTTTGAAGCTTAATCTTCTGAAAACATTTTGAGGTAGATGTGGTGGAGATGTCATGTATACAGTCAAGTCAAACTTCAGTGCTTAATTTTTTTTTCCTGCTAATTTTTTTGTTTTAGAGAAGATCCACCAAGTCATGCTCAGGAAGGGAGTGACGATGCAGAGGAAATACAGGTCAGTATAGAATGCAACTTAATGTCAGGTCTCTTTAGGAAATGTGAATGTAACCTTTTCTGCATAATTTATAGGTGAGGAGAGTACTTCACAAAAATAATAATCCCATAATAGCCTTGAAAAACTTACACTTCATTGTTTATATATATTATGATACCAGGGAAGGTTTAAAATGTTTCTATACTCTTTCACAGAAGACTCTTTTAATTTTATTTTATTTCTCAATAATTGCATTTGTAATAATGAGTAGGAAGTGTTGAAGGTTATTGGAATTGATCTTAATGCTGTTTCATGGCCTGAAAAATTAGGAGGAGTGGATTTGGAGGAGTTATTTCAGAAATTATGAAAGTTTCTGATGCCATAATAGCTCAGAAGGGTGTTCTAGAAGAAAAACAATGGAAAATATAAACATTTTAAGCACGAGGTTACAGAAGGTATAAAAAGAAGATGAAAAAGAAATACAAATGGGTCTGATGGAAGTGCTGGAGCTGTGGACAGGCTTTAGACAGGGAAGACTGTTGAGTTCTGAAATGCCCAAATTTGTTATATAAATCACAAATAAAATACATAGGTGTCGTCTTTTATCCATACTTTAGAATAGTACTTCTGCTGAATAGACAATATTTTTTCCTGCCTTAATTTACAACCGTAATAATTGGAGGATGGTGATGCTGTGCTGCAGGAGCTCCAGGGCAATGATTTGATCCATGCATTGTAGGAAGCCATATGAATTCTGATGTTCTCATAAATTATAAAGGATGCCTCAGGAACCCAGTAACCTTTGATTTGTTCTTACTTTTAACAGTGGTCAGATGATGAGAACACTACAACGCTTAAGGTAAGGTCCTGTAACACAGTGTAACATGTGGGTTGGCCAGCAGTATCCTTTCTGCAACCTTGTGATATAAACTTGTTGCCAGTTGGAGATATCTGTTGCTGTCTTTTAACAGTTTTCAAACCATTCTAGACGGATGGCAGTTTAGATGTCTGTAACTTTAAAAAAGTTTTGCTGGCTTAATTTTATTTAACTAAAAATAAAGTGCTTTTCTTCATTCCCAACAATCATACACTTGTTAGACTATAGGAAATGAACTGAAGTATGGCTCTAAATATAGCTGCCTTTCATTTTCACCACTTTGAATATCTCCCAATTACTTAATCAGACTGCATGCAGAAGAAATGAAGCCCCTGCAGCTCAATTTTCACAACTCTTCTCTTACAGCTTTGCCACGATTTCTTCCCAAGTACATTTCTTTCTATCCTCTTTTTTTTTCCCCCCGTTTTCTTGTCTTTATGCTCCCCTTGCACTGTGCAGGAATCAGGATCACGATGGATACGAACTAGGCTTCCTTTCTCTCTTTTTACATCTTTTTTGAAACATGCTGTTGCCCAAGAGTTAACATGCTTGTGCCACTTGTCTGCCATTGATACTTCAGTCCTGTTAGCTCTCTAATATTCAGCAGTGTTGAATTGCTCATGTTGAATTAGGTGCAATATGAACGCAGCCCTTGCTTTGAGTTGCGTGTTTGCTAGCGCAGAATTAATAGCATAGACTTTAATCCATGCCAAATTTGTGCACACTGATAGCTTCAGTTCAAATATCTAAGCTTTGATAAAGTAGATGCCTTAGATTGTAAATTATTCAGAATGAGGATTTTGGTATCCATCTTTTCTTTTGGGAAGCTCATGTTAATATTGCTAAAGAAATAGTGTCAGACTTCTGAATCAGGTTTTGTTATCGTGTACAATGCAGTAAGGAAATGCACAATCAAGTTGTATGATACTCATCAGAAGGGTATAGGCCAAGTGATTTCTGCTTAGCTGGGTAAGGAGTGTGTCCTGTGTATGGATTGCAGCTTTACTGCTAATGTTTTACTGGGACTGACTGGGATGGAGTTAACTTTCAGCTATTGCTGGACAGTGCTTGCATAGTGTCAGGGCTTCCTCTTTTCCCACTTTGCCCCAAGAGAAGAAGAGGAGACAAAGCCAGGACAGCTGACCCAAGTTGTCTTAAGGGATATTCCATACTGTATAATACCATGCTCAGCAATAACAGTAGAGGTAGTGGAAGAAGGAGGGGTGTTTTGGCCTCCAAGGTGACTTTTTTTCAGAGACTCACAGGGCTTTGTCTTTTGCCAAACCTGGAACGTTGAAAATGGTTAATAATGTACATGGGTTGTGCCTGTGGCTAGTTATTACAAAAATACACCTACTTTTGGTCAAAGAAAGAGACTCTAAAAGTAGAATTTCACAATGTGCTCTTTACCGTCTTGTAAATTTAGTAGATGATTGCCCTGAAGACTCCATCCATGGCAAATACCCTTTCTCAACCTGAAAACTAGGGGTCAGTGAGTGAATGGAAATAGTCTTCTATTCTACCACTGACTGTGATGGAGAGAATGAAGAACCAGCCTGTGTTGTGTGCACAAGGGTGGGCAGCTGGAATTACTGCAAGAGATGAGTGGATCAAGTAGTGGTGTGGAAGCTGAACAGGGATACGCTAGGGAACATTATGTGTGGAGAATAGTGGGAGAGGCTGGAGACTGTTGTTCTGTACCTGCTGTTAGCTTAGGGCGTGTGTACTTTACTAATGATAAATCCTAGGTTATAATTCTCTACTGGTTTCTTGGCTCAGGAAGCGGTAAGGTGGGCTGTGGGTGTGATTTGGCTTTGATCACCTGCCTGAGTAGTCAGGTAGAACTTGTTTCCCTTGTCCCTTCTATATTGTGTAGAAGAATTACCATATAGGATTATAGAAAATTTAGTGTTTAAAAAAGCCCCATGCTTTAACATTGATGTCTGCAAAGTCAAGCATTCAGAATTTAGGAAATATTTTAATTTGGCTTGTTTATGCAGCCTCAGAACTATCCTTTTGTGTATATTTCTTCACTTGTATTAATCAAATGACGTGATGGTAACATTTCCCCAGGGAGGCTTAATATGTGCTGGTATGACGTATATGGTATGACTCCTGACTTCTGTCAAAACACGAGAAGATTGGATCAGAATGTTTGAAGTTCAGTCTAGGTCACTGCACTAAAATGTAAGAAGGGGTTTTTTTTAAGTGTCTGCATTTGGTGGGGCTGCAGAAAGGAGGTGCCAAAATATATAAACTCTTTTTGATCACTTGTGTGGCTGTGAGAACTTTGTTCTTTTGGAGGCCTCAGTTAGCTTTAGCCTGAAAGTTATCTTTGAGCTAGGTTTAAAAATATTCAGGCAGAAATAAGTGTTCTTATATCCTTTATGCTATAAATTCTATTACATGAAAAATCCTTGACATACACCTGAAATCCTTTCATATTTCTATAGGTCAGCAATCTGTCTTTGTCTATGGCAACACATCCAAAGTGGAGTTTATAGCATCCTGATGATTTTTTTCCCCCCCCATCTTATGTTTACAAATACTGACAGTGTTTTTTACAAGGCAAGGTTTTCTAGTCCAACACATACCTTTACAGTGTGTCCTCTATTTTGATGCAATATATTAAGAAGCTACTTTAAGACCTAATTTAAGGGCCAATTAGTTAAAATATTACTAACAACATTTTGTATAACTACAGCTTAAATGAGGAACTGTCACTCCGAGTTGATTTTATTTACCTTTACTCTCTTAGTGTGCTCTTAAATACAACTACAGAACTGTAGCAAAACAAAACTGATCTCTTTCCACCTTTTAATACTTGACAGATTGCTCCAGTATTTGTATTTTAGATTTTCTAAGGAGATACTTAATTCTAAACAAACTATTTTCGAGATTTCATTTGTTTGTATTTAGATCTTGGAACTTTTTTGTGTACTATAATCTACCATCGGGTATAAAACAAGGGGTGTGTATTTAAGGTCTGTTTATTTGCCTTGCGTGTTTGCCAGCTGTTGGTGCCGCTTTCATGCGGAATGTTACGAAGTTTCGAGTTTTCCCTTGAAGCTCATGGAATCTTGCTAGAAAGGAGAGTGAGAACTGGAAATGTGTTTTCAATTTTCTCTGACTGAAAGAATGTCAGAGTTGAATCTTAAGCAGTTTATTTCTACGAACACATTATTTTTGTGGGGTTCTTGATTCCTGATTTTTGGACAAGTTCATTCCTTCTACCGTGTGAATTTCGAATGGTATTTAGAAGTAGCTGCACTTCACTATTAAGTCTGTTGAAGCTGACATATTTTTGTTGTTGTTCTTTGTTCAGGCACCAGAATTTCCTGAGTTTACAGCTAAAGTTCAAGAAGCAATAAGTTCCTTGGGTGGTAGTGTTTTTCCTAAACTTAACTGGAGTGCTCCAAGGGTAAGAATGCTGACTGCCAAAATTTGTAACGGATGTTATCATAAGGATTTTCTTGTTTGTTTTATCTTAACGCATTGGAAAGTAGAAGAGACTAGTGGGTCTGATAAAGGAGAGAGCGATAGACAAGATAACGGTGAAGTATGATACAGCAAATTGTTCTGGTGGATTAGAGCTCGATGCTGCACTATGATGAGGCTGATGCCAGGCAGCACGGTCTTTCTTATGTATCCTTGTCACAAATAACGAGACTCTTCTCATTTAGGATACTAGTTGAAAACTTTGCCTGGGATAAAGATTAAAACCCCACCTTTTTAAAAAAAGCAATACACTTCCCTCTAGTTATTTTTAGGTACTCTAACTATACCTTAAGGATGGTTGCACCCGAATGGTTTTGTATCGTATTCTCAAGGGAAACTTGTATTCAGTGAGGCCCTCCAAAAAAAAAGGTGCCTGGAGGCAGTAAGGCAAAAACTTAGTTTTCTTTTAAATGGATTTGCTCTGCTTTCAGCAGAGTATTCATAAGAAAAGCAATAACTATTGTGTCTCTTGTCACAGCTAATGAAGCTTTTCTCAAAATAAAGAAATCATTTTCTGTGTGTATTTAAAATGTTGCATGATGTGTAGTGCTGCTAGATCTGCAGCTTACGTTCCTTCCTGCTAGTAAAGGTGCATTTCTTGACAATCTCCTTTTTTTTTGTTTAGGATGCCTACTGGATAGCAATGAACAGCTCTCTGAAATGTAAAGCTCTCAGTGACATCTTCCTCCTCTTCAAGAGTTCAGACTTCATTACCCGTGACCTCACTCAACCGTAAGTAGATTTCATAATAAAACTCCACCCCTCTGAGGCTAACATTTCAGTTGTTTTGAAAGATGTTACTCTTTACTGTGCAGTAACGATAAATATCTGAAACAAAAATACATAGTCACGTTTAAAAGTTGTTCAAGTACAACTGAACACTGAACTGCAGATGAATGAAAAGCAAAACAGGAAGACATTATATTGAAGTAGTACATGCAAAATGACACTATGGACTAAGACCATTTTTATCGAGCTCTTTCCACAGTCTTTTTTCCATCAGTCTTTTTCGACTGATGTTTTAATCTTGGGCTTTTTTTGCCTTCCCACCCCTCTTGATGTTTACTTGTTGCTACCTACCTTACTGTTACCACTTTTCATGGTAACACAGCATGCCTTTACCATGTTTTTTTCAAATTTTAAAGCTGTTGAAGTTTGTGTGGCTGCCTGGAAGATGCCCGAGACTTCTGCTAATGTATTCCTAGAGCTTCTTCTGAACTCAGGTTCTTATAGCTCTTGAACAAATGCACTCCAGGAACTGTGTCTAGGGACAGTAACAGATAAAATTACAAATATATTGTGCTTGGGCTTTATTTTGTCTGCTCACGTGAAGAAAGTATTTATTGTATAGAAAGTTTCCTCTTGTAGTACCTGCATCTGATTCATGTCACTCACTTCTAAAGTATAGCCTTTTTCTGAAAGAACATAAAATTACTGGAATTTAATGTTCTTGTTACTATTATTACTATTACTTTTTCAGAAAAGCAGACTTTCAAAGAAAAATGGCAATCCATGGCTTGGTATCAGAGATTATTTTCTACTAATTATTCAATGTTTATTTATATTACCACAGTATTTAGGAGACTCAATCAAATGCAGGGCACTTCTTCTAGGCGGTTTATAGAGGTTTACCAAGCATAATAGGCCTGTCTTAAGTAGCTTATGACCCGATGAAAATTGTCTTGTCTAAAACATGAAACCAGTTACGTTAATGCTGTACAACTGCCTTCATGTTTTTATTCCTGCAACTCTAGTAACACTTTCCCCCCAATTTGTTTGTGCATTAAACATTATAGGTAGCGACATCCTTATCCTTATCTCTGCATTTATGGAGTGCTAGCAACATTGTCAGTTCAATTTTGACGCTGGGTTTTACATTATGTCCAACCTACAATATTATGAGGTGCAAAGGAAGAGTCTGAGAAGGAGGGGAGAAGATGTTGGAGTGAGAAGACAGTTTGAAAAATATGTTGGATTAGGGAAACAATTGTGAGCATTGAGAATTTACGGTTCTGGGATCATAGAGATTGAAAGGGATGGGGAAGATGATAAATCTGTAATTTACGTTACAGAGGTGAGTGAATAGTAATTTTCTGGAGACTTCGGTGCCTTACCAAAGAGCTTTATTTCATGGTTTTCTCTAGTGGGAGGCTCGGTCACTTGGCCAGGTGTCTTGAGGACAGTTTGCTCAAAGGGCTAAAATTTAATGTGTCCTTTGTTGTAACTGCTTTCAGGACTGCATCTTGTGGGACTGAAAAGAACTGTACACTTTGTATCAAGCCCTTTGTGGATATTAAATAATACGTTTTTTTGTATTCTATTGAACCTCCAAAGAGGTTCAACGTAAAGTACCCTGAGCTCCTTGGAGAATTCCTGTTTGTTGAACCACCTGGGACACAATCAAGTGTTTAGCAAGCACTATTTGGTTTAGAAGATGTCACAACTCTGTGTGTGTGTTTGTGCTTTTAGTTTATGCCATTTGTGTGGTAGAATGAGTTGGTTGACCACTGAGATTGAAATTGGTGCATTTTCTGTCAGATTTTATCTTGTATCGGGTAAGGTTAGTGCCTCAGCTATTCATTTTGCCCTCTGCAGACAGTTCTGACTTAGTAGCAGAGGCAACGAATGCATCCTAGCTCCTATGTTGTGAGATTTCACAGCATGGGTGTTAACTTGAACCATCAGTAATTTCACCTTAAGTTCACACCAGACTGATCACGGTGGTGGCTGAGCAGCCTGTGGCAGGCACGCTGTCTTCTTTTGATCCTGCTGTGGGAGAATAACCTCTAGCAGAAAGGCAGCACCTCAAATTGCAGCGCTCCAATCCAGACTCCTTCTCCAGTGTAAGGAAGACTGCACACACAGCCACAGTGCAGCTCAGCTCGTGGGTGGTAAATGAGCCAACCCTCTGGCGTGATTGTGGTATCATCACCTAATCTAAAAGTTAAAGTTTCATTTGATAAGTGTTTCATTTATTTCCCTTATTATAAAGTCTAATCTAGTGTTGGTATAAATTTGGGTTATGTTTTTTGGAGGTTTTTTGGTTTTGTTTTTTTGCCAGGCTTTGTTGTTCTGGTAAGGTAGAGTTAACGTGGGCAGTGCAGCCTTGCAGTCTCCATCAATTTGAATGGAATTTGTACTTGTGACTAAGGGAACATGAGTAATGCATAAAATCACTTTGGTCTCTATGTATCTTATATTTTTATAAATGTCTTGTACTTGATTAAAGTACCAGTCTGTGCATGGTGTTTCTAAATTACGAAGTTATTTGTACAAAATGTCCCCACTCAAACAGTGAAATGATTATTGCTGAATCAGAATGGTGGTCTTCCTTAATTATGCTATTGATTAGCTGCCAGTTCCTTAGTCCTTAGCAAGCAAAAATTATAAATGTAGCAGGCATAAGAACCTGAAGTGCTGAACAAATGAAAATTGGATACATAATACATCCATTTCCCTTGAAAGGGCTACTTGGAGGGAGGATAAATGCTCTATATTTCTACTTCTTCCATTAATAATCAGTATGGTCTAAAAGTTTCTTGCCCCGAATAAGTAACAGGAAACAGCTGAAGTGTTGTATATCCATTTTTGGTTTTATTTTGTTTTCTGTTCAATTTTATCAACTTAAAAATCCACTTCATGGGTCATAATGTGGAAAAGACTTTGCAATGGCAACATGAAAATCTGTTTCTTAGTCCAGCTTTGCCAGTGGTGTGGGACTTAAAGCAAACCATATTTGCCTCTTCTTTCCTCTCCCATTTCCTATTTGCTTATCTGGTATTGATCTATACTTTGTTCAGGTCAGGGAACTGCCCTTGCTGTAACTCTCAACTGTTACAAGTCCTGTGAAAACTTCAACTATGCAATACTTCAATGCAAACCATTAAAAAATATGGCCTTAATGCAAACATACTGACCATGACTAATTAAGTTTTGACTAATTTAAATGTTTGGATTCTCTCATGATGTTGATGCTTTGTTTGGCTGAAAAGTTCAGAATGGAGCGAACTTTTCTCCTTGTTAATTTTGGATAAAGTAACAACAACTTCAGAGCAACGTGATCATTAATGTAGTCAATGCCGTTTCTGCTTCAAAGTAAGCATTGCATTTTACTTAGCTGAGTTCACAGAAACTTGTGGGTGGTCTGATCCTTAACTTTTCAGGTTTTAATGTAGGCTTTCAAAAACTTAGTGTTGTGGATATGTGATTTGTTACAGAGAGGCAGTATGAGTCGCCTGCAAGAATGACTGTTTTCTGGTGTGCACATAAGTGGTATAAATTGACTCTCAGTATTTTATTGGACCAGCTGATGCTATGACCCTGTTACTTCCAGAACTTCATTCCTGAAAGCTTTTTGAGAAGCTGGTTAGACAGGTGAAGTAAAGAGCCTAAAAGTAGCCGCTCAACTCTGCCTGAGCTCAGGAAACAGAGTGAAGGGACCATCTGAGCCACATATAGTAGGTAAGAAATATCTACTAGGTTAGCAGGGGTAGCAACTCCCGCTGGGCCAAGGAAAAGATGGCAAATATATTAATGTACAAGATACAAAGGGACACGAGGGAAGATGCAATGTTTTTTTTATTTATTTAGGTGTTTATAAGAGGGCTTGGTTAAAATTTAAATGCTTGTTTCTGAGAACAATTGAGAAAGTTGCTTTTGAGTGAGGTTTAGCCCATCTGGCTCCTAAGCACATTGTTTGACTTTAAAACCTAGCAGACATTTCAGTCCTCCTTGATTTTAAGCTGGCATTTGGTCTACGTTTTTGATACCAGACTTAATGCTTCTAAATATTGAATCAACAACTCATAAAGAAACGATAAAGTTTTTCTGAGATGTGGAGGAATAACAGCCTGTGTTCTCCAAACAGAACATAGGAGGCAGTGTTGGCTCATAAAGATGTGAGGTGGCACTCGGGATGCTTTTTAGGCAGAACGGTAGCTGCTGGTTTAGACTTTGTTTCGGGGCAGACAGTTCCACAAGGGAAGATGTGGAATGTTGATGTTTGATATTATTTTTCTTGAGGTTTTACTCGCATTCCCTTTTTCCTAGCAGTTTATAGTGTAGCACAAGATCCGTTTTTGAATGGTGCATGAATTTTCTATTTCCTTTAGTCCTTAAAGTTCCGGCAAGGTTCAGTATTCAAGAAATAAAGATGCAGTTCAAAGTCTGTTAGAAGTTTCTCCTTGATTTTTTTTTTTTTAATTAAGGCTTTAAAATAAACCGTGAGATGATATCAGGGGAACTGCCAGGTACAGAATTACTTTTACAATTCTCATTATATTCATGATAGTTTATTGTCCACAGAATAATCTCAGTGATTTGCAAATGAGTTCATGGCTCTCTTAGCAGGATAAATACTGGAGGTCTTACAAATCTTCTTAAATTGCTTTTCTCAGTGTTGAAAACTGAACTGCTTAATGGCTTCATGTGGTGTGTCCTTTTGTCAAGTATATGCATTTGGAGGTTAAGATACAGCTGCTGCGTATAAAGAGATCTCGATCCTTCTCTTCTTGACATCTACATATAAATCTGTAAACAAGCTGTTGACCGCAGCACAAGGCCTGTAAGCAGTTGAGTTTAATTCCTGCCCCCTTGGCAGTATTCAAAATGCCAATTTTCAAAGGCTTCAGAAAAGAGAGCCCAGAGTCGGGAGTCTTTCTGATTTGTTCTTTCAAGTACCTCCAAACCTGAGTGGACTGCAGGTTAAAGGAAACCCCGCTTGGTCTTCTACCCCTTATGATCAAAAGGCCATATGTGGTAGACTAATTCAGCTGGGTCTGAACAATCAGTGCTACAATAAGTTGGTTAAAAAGTATAAGATTGCAACTACCTCAAGTTGCCCAAAATTTACCCCCCAAAAAGATGTGGTAGTAATGGCGTTTTGTTGACAAAAACCTGTGATACTATTCAGAAGGAAAGTGAGGCTACAAAAATCTGAGGTTTTGACTTTTGCTGTTTTCTCCCATTTTTTCCCTTATTTGTACTCAGTCCTGTGTCATTAAGGTTCATGAAAAATAATGTTGCTGCGTCTTGCACTATTTTTTCCGATACTCATCATTTTGCCTGTTTGCTTGATCTGGCAATAGTTCCTGAGCAGTCTGCGTGGCTTGGGATGGCACCCAAGGATTTAATTTTCTGACTTACAAGGAAAGAGGAAGTTTCTTTCCCCACATAGGTCTCACCCAGAATATTTGAGGGTTGAGCAGGGGATAATTGTGATTGTTCATAAGGCTGTTTTTTGACTGCTGGAAAAGACTGCATGTTACTGGAATGAAGCAGGTTGCAGGTACCCTGATCTCAGGTATGGAAGTCTATGAGAGCTAATGCAGGTCCCAGTGTGCAGGGACTGTAAAACTCCACGTGCTGGACTTCAGCTGCCTTTTAGGATAAAGTTTATGATTGGTTTTGCATGTGTGTGATATTTTCTTGAGCATGGCAGGCTTCTATGCTAGTAAAGGAGGAATTTTGAGTCTAGCAAAAATGCAAGCTCTCATGAATTTGTTTGTATTGCCTTGGCAGATCTTAAATTGCGGGGAATATAAACTGTAGTTGAAGGATGTTATCTGTTTACATAGGCTTACGGATATATATGATCTGTTTGATTACAGTACTTTTGGAAAGCATGCCTGCCATTTCCCTTTTCTGCGTGTAGTGGATGGTGAAGTCTAAACTAAAACATGTGAAATGTATTTCTGCTGGCAGCACGCTGAATGAACTCGTATGACAGCTCTTCACTTCAAACTGAAGGCTGGGCAGCCGTGTCTTACAAACACAATGCTGGTATTGGAGACATTAGACTTTTGGATTGCTTAACTAAATTTGGTGCCAAAGGGAGATAGTATAAATGTTGCCATTTGAGACTATTGCTCAGCAGTGACTCTTTACACAGTTCTTCTGTGCATCAAAGTAGTTTGTTGCCAATAAGGTCAGGAAGTTTGCCTGAAAGGAAAATGCATGTTTTCTTGCTAATTCCATTTGAAAATTACAGGGTTTATCACAAGGTTTGCTGTAAAACACCAAAAAGGTACATAGAAGTTGGCTTGGGTGTAATTGCCTCCGCTCTTCATAGTTCCTGAAAGGTGACACACAGAGTCAGCTACTCACAAGGGACAAAGCCTTAACATCTGCTTGCAGTTATGGAAATAGTTTTGTTTGTTCTGACTCTCAAGAGATTTGTAAGAGTATTTCTTAAGGCTCTTAATTTAGCAAGATACCATGCTGTGGAATCAGAAGTGTCGAGTGGTGCTGCTTTGCATCCCTTATTCATGGAAATGAAAATAATTCTGAACTGCTGCAAGGCATGGTGATGTGTCTCTGTTGTGTGGTTTGAGAAGTTAAACGTTAGAAGTACTAGGGAAAACACGCTGCAATGAAACTGGATTAAATTGCACAAGTGTGTCTGGTTCTTTGACAATCCAGTTATGCCAACATAACAATAAAGAGGAAAGGAGCAGCACTGTTGAATCAATCAAACAAAAAAAGCTCCTCAACAATGAGTAAACACTCACATTTTAGCCACATCCCTATACAAATTAAAAGAGAGGTGTTTTTTTTTTCTTCTTTTTCCCTGATAATTGTTGAAAGAAGGTTTGTTATTGATGTATTGTATTTACTTGGCTTTGTATATCTTAGCAATAACAGTAGTTTTTGTGATTGATAGTTTGGGATTGTTTTTCTCACTATGGCTAAAATCTTATATATAAAAGCAGATTTTGATGCTTGTGCCTTACTTTTCCAGATTTATCCACTGTACTGATGATTCCCCTGATCCTTCCTTGAACTATGAGGTAGGACTTTTTGCATGATTTCTGGTAACTCAAACGAAATGCTCACAGGCAGGGTGTCACTTGTGCTTGGGTATGTGCCCATAAAATTTGTTTTGTTTTAATTACGTTGCTTGGGCAGTGCGAGGAGGTCTGGTTCAGTGCTACAGGTCATAAAGAGTTCATTTTATTACAGATCAGATGAGCTAAAGCTCAGACTTCCTTGCAGTTTGCTCTCACGTCTGTCACATTTTGCTGGAAAGGACAAGTTCGGTAGCTGAAAGTCTCATATTCCTGATAGCAGGCTGCTTGTGAACGTCACAGTTGAGGTTTCTAAGGGAGAAGCTCGCTGTAGTGGCTGGGGACGTCCTGAAGTGGTCTCTCATATCTTGTTTCTTATGCTTGTCACGGGATTAAAATGTTAAGTTAGCAACACAGATATTAACACCGCTTTAAACTGTTCATGTGCTGCTATTGCTTTTATGATAGGATCGAGTCATGTTTCTAATAATAATTTTTATGTAAATATAGCATTTGTCATCATCCCGTGGGCTTAAAGGGCTTTAGAAAAGTGAATGAACCCTGTTGTTTTTAAAGCACTATCATAATGTGTTAAAAATACAGGACATCTGAAAGTTGGAAGAAAGAGTTTGATGTTTACACTGTAGTTAGGAGTGTCACCTTTGATTACTGACGTTTTTCTGCTGCGGTTGATAGGTGTTGGGTGTTTCCCGTACCCAAGAGCAGTAATTGAGGCCCTCAAAACGATGGATCCATCTGAATACTTCAGCTTAGGAAATGCAGAAACTCGAGAAAGTGCCAGTGATATGTTTTAATTACCAGGCAGTCTGTCCTATTGACTATAATAGTTTGGTTACTATTTCCATCCCATGTCCTTATTTTAACTGGTTTGCGCCTTCAAAGGCGTCACAGAATTCTGCTTGGGTGTATACCAGAATAGAGGTTGATTTGCTTAAATTTAATCCTGCTCATCAGCTCTTTTGACTGGGGAGCAACTTTCTGCCAATTCCGTCACAGATTTGTTGTGTTGTACAGCAGGGATTTTTTTTTGTTTTCCACGCTTTATCATTAATGTAACTTTGAAGTTGTTTCATTAATAATTTCACAGTTATAAATCACAGAATCACAGAACGTCAGGGAT